TGGCTGTGAGGTAACCACCATTTTCAGCTTGATTTACATAAAACCTTTCTGGGATAACAAACATTTGCATATAAAAAAATGTAGCAGAGAAGCAGCAGAACATATGAGCTCAAAATGGAAGAAATATTTCCGACGGAAAATTTTTGAAGTTTCAAAAAGACGAAAATAATAAATGGGTCCCTTCCGCGACTTTAGCACTTTTGTCAAGTTCAATGAATGGTTCTTCTTATCGCAAAAGCAGTATTACTGCATCACAGAACGAATGATTTTCCGAAATTCTAGGAACATAAGGAGATCATATGCAGCTTGCAAAAATGTTAGCGGTACTTCAAGCCCACTTTTTTTCGGAATTTAAGGTTTATGCACTAGAACTAAACTCGTAAGTTGAACAAAGAACTATGTCTTCCCAACCTCAACACAACACGTAAAGTTTCCGCAGCGGAACAGACCAAGCACTGATCCAAATAAAACTTACTGGAGATGGGCTTCCATATCTTGTTGACTCGGAAGAAGACTAGCAAATTTTGAACAATATTTCGACATAAAGGCAGTCAGCTAAAACAATCATTACATTCATGACTACACTGATTATATGCAAAAAAAGCAAGATGGAGATGTGGGAAAACGAAGCAAAATGCTTTACCTTTTCTCTCAACCTGAAGTGATCTTTTTCGTTTCCACCGGTTATCCACCAAGATAAAGTTCGAAACAGACAATTACCATCACCTCGAACTTCACAGCTCAACGGCTTATCTCGTAGTGAAAATTCCATTTCACGTCCGAATGTACGCTTGCGCAATCTACAATAGAGCGAGGCGATCACAGAAAAAAATTATGTGGAAAAAGAAACCAATTCTGGAGAAACGCACTCAGGAGATCCAGAATATTTGAATCCTAATTGTGAGCACCACGTCTTTTGGCAATCCTCTGTGACTGGACGGAAAAACAACGTATTCTTCTCCTGAAAACAGCGAGATAAACATTCAACGCCATGATCATGTAGCTGTCAAGCACAAACAGCTCAGTGGAGGTGAGGTTATGACTTCACGGTAAATATTCATGACCATGCAGATAGATGAAAGACATGAGACGAGTGCAGAAAAGATTACCTCGTAAGCACCAAGAACAGAAATAGGCTCAGGACTCTGCAGCCACTCAGCAGCTTTACTTGACGACGGACGAGAAGAGGGCCGCAGGGGCTCGGTGATCAAACGCGCATAAGACTCGTTTGAGTTGGTTGAAGCATTTGAACTTGAGGCGCCAAGTGAATTCTAAAATTTATTGCTGTATCCTCACCGATATGGCAAAAGCAAAGAGGAAGCAGTATACAGCAATAATAAACAGGAGCGCGACTTAGGATATCTGCCTCTTTTTTCAGTCATTTTGCCTAAAGAATAAAGTGGAGACACCGAGTCAAGTTTGGGATGGGTATAACATAAGCCAGAATATACGGATCCTGAGCAGACCAAGCGAAGCTTTGCCCACTGCGAGGGGGTCATACACTTGAATAGCAGGGCTAGGAGCTAAAATTTCTGATTTGGTTCAAGAAGAGCCCAGGTACAATTGAAAATATGGGTAAATTAAGCCCCGGTGCCAAGGTGGATTAAGGTAGCTACCCATCGACGAGGCGTTTAAGAAATGTGCGAGGCTTGCTTCGCAGTTGGCTCGAGCATTTTTATACTGGGTCCCACTTCCTACATTAACACCTGTTACAGTGACCTAGGGGTGAGCAAAACTTTAAAGGAAGTGAATACGATAGATTATAAGAAGGGTTTATAGGAGACTGGTGGTGCTCAATGGTACGCCAGTGGCGAAAAAAGCGGAGAAATCCGTCAAGAAAACGCAAAAGGGACCCCTTTTTTGGCCGTTGGTTTTCACTCATGAACAGGTAACAGCTCAGAAAGCGGACGTATGAACAACTTTTGGGGGCGGAGTGCTTTCGAAGTCCTGCTCAGCAACCAGCGCACCTTTCGTCGTGAAAGCGCCACATCTCGCTTCCTTGGCAGCCAAGTAACTGCTTCGTGTGGTGCATATGCTTCCCCGATGCGCTCCTTCTTATCGTAATCGCTGGCTTTGAATGCCTTCGCAATATACGGTGATATCCTCCAGTGAGCCAAGGAGGGCAGGAACTTCGGTAAAATGAAGTGGTTCAAGCTCCTTGTAGTCTCTACTCTCATGCATAGAGCGTTGTGCCTTTTCTGCCATGTCAACAAAAAAAAACATGCTTACGCGGTTTTCAGTGTATTGCCAACACTATGCCACCGTATCATGCGATAACATTAAATTTTCTGATACCCCTCATATAAATTTACAAGCAGACAAAGAGACAGGGAATAAGCGGAGAGCCCAGCGAGAGCGGAGATCAAACTCAATGGTGGTGGCGTGCTTCGATGAGCGAGGTTTACCGCAAGTCATCTCCACCCTCAATAAGTGGCCACATTATTTATGCATGACTGATAAACAGTTACATTTTTGGGCGCTGAACGAGCAAGAGGAGGCCAAGTCTTGTCAAGGAAATGGAACACGAGTACATACATCGAAGTAGGGTTCAATTACCTCAATTTCTATGACATCCTCAACGCGAGACCGCTTCTTGGGTACATCATCCTTGCTGCTAATTTGTGATGCGTTAACGTTACTGGCCGAGTGATCCCGAGCCGCAGGACTAGTAGTAGAATTCGCGACCTGCATGCGGTAACAGTTTTACAAGATGTGTGTTTAGATGATAAAACGTAAGTTGCTCACACTTTGACCCTCAGTGGATGAAGAGTGTCCCTGCAGAACCGGAACTTTCTAGAAAAATACGTGACACTTAATAAGCCAAAATAGACTATAGGAAACTTTTGCGGATGGAAAAACCGACCGCCGCATCTGAGGAATTTTCCTTCAAGTATCCACCACTCTGCTTTACTAAGCTGGAATCAGTTCCATTGGAAGCATCCCTCGACGAAACAAACGCAACGTTTTCCTTTTCCTATAATAATGAACCTACAATACAAATCAAGCAGGTAGTTCTCAAAAGCACTTTCAATACCTAGTACGGGCTTCTTTTTTTAGCAACACGGAAGTCACATCAACCTCCTCCGAATTACTATTGAATCAAACTATTCGAAATTGCAACGATCAAGAAATAGACGAAATAAGAAGACAGAGCAATTTTCAGTGAGTAACAACAATAAATCCGTCAACATATGAACGCCATCATAATGAACGAACCAACTGCATTCCAGAAGAAACCGGTACAGCAACAACGCCCATTGCAGCTTCACCAACATTCAATTTTCTTGTTGAGGTTATTGGATCCTCCAGCTTAAACTAGCAAAAATACATCTTTTCCGACTACTCGTAAACAAAGCATAAAAATTTTGCAGTCGATAGATAAACTAGACATAAATTAGATAGACAAAGATATATGAATAATCAGCTTTTCGCCAGAATTTCTGTTACATAAACTGCGCATGTTTAGAAGCTAACTGTCAAGTAAAAATACTTGAACATAAGTTGGGAGACAGGGCGCAACCTTGAAAATATGGGTAACTGACCTTTCCCACCTTGACGAAACGTGGACGATTCATCTTGAGTGGAGAAAGAGCAGCTCGAGACTGCGTTCGCAAATGTTCAGTGGCACTGCCCGAGACTTTATTGAACTCAGGAGTGGTAACTTCAACCATTCCTTGCTTGAAAATAAGTCAGAGTAGTTAAGTAGAATGTCAGACCAAATCGCCACTCAATTAACTCACCGATGGTGCATGGGGCCGGAATGGACTTTTCTACTTTATCAGGGCTTCGAGCAGTTTCAAGATAACAACTCATCGCTACTTCTGCCCCGTAGCTGTGAGAAACAGTCTAGCGTTGTAGACATCTTCGCTGAAAGACATAAATGTCACTCGTCCTTCTGTCTGATCTAGGCACTATCTCTTAAAAATCATCACATCTGAACTCTCTGCATGACCATTCGACTTCGCACCATTGAAGGGAGATACCGATTGGGACACACTGAAAACACAAGTTACGCTGACTTAAAAAAAACAGAAACAAAAACATTCTGTGTTGGGATAAAAAGCTACCTCTGTTTCCTTCCTCTTGCTTCTCAACTTCAGAATCAATAAGTCAGATCTTCAGAAATAGCCTCTAACAACGCCCACTCTCTCATCTACTTTGCTTCCGCCAGCCTCACCGAAGCGATAGCGCTTCACAACTATTATAAGAGATCTGAAAAATCATCAAAAATCCACTCAACTCGTCAAAAAGGCTATGAAATGTCCAAAGAAAAAACAGACCGATTCGCCTATGGAATCAATAATTAAAAAGGATTAGAATTTCGCGAGACAACAAGATTATACATTTGGACAGAAAGAATACGCACGCATACGAATGATGAAAAAGACAACAAGCACTAATAAAGGTCTTCAGCCGAAAAATTTATATACTTTCAAATTTCAAGGACACAAAGTAAATTGAAACAACAAACCCTTTAAACAAGGTAAAAACAAACCCCCGAAATACATAACGAAACAAAAATACAAAAAAAACTTACTGTGGTACGACAAACGCCCTGATAAACCAGACCCTGGCCACAAGAACTACATTGACTCAATCTCTTCTCGAGCCAGAGCATGTTCTATCATTTTCTGAATCGACTCTCCCGCTCTGAAATCCCTTGCAAGATTATTGTCATCTAACAACGCTCTACAACAAAAAACAAACCTAACAGTCACAGTAAGATCAATGGCATCATTGGTCATTTCGCTTGCACGTGCACATCGTTCACAACCGTATCTAGAAATTGTGAGAGGAAATCGCGTCGCGAACGATATAAGCATGGATAATACGAATGTCATACCTGTCTCGGTATTTTATGCTGGAAAACACCAGCAGGATTCCTATTCATTGTTGTTGGCGAAGTTGAACACTAGATTCGCCACTTTTAATAAGTTATAGCCTCATGGTATAAGTGATCTACTATGCGCTACCTCTGCTGATGAACTTGCCCTATCGTCAACAGCGGAGCGATTGAATTTTCTCGAACGCAAAGCTTCTTTTTCAAGAATTTCCAATGTCTTCGCCAAGAATTCATGCGCATCCTGGAAGTCAGATCACTACAATAGCGGTTCAAATGAGCAGAGGTAAATATGATATCGCGTAGGTTGAACGAAGTGAACGCGGGAAAAAAACAGAGTATTCCACATTACCTGCTGCACACTTGAGCCAAAGTCTGGATCCGACCCTAGTTCTTTGCCCGCTGCTGTTCTTAGGGCTTCGAGAACCTAAAGCGGACATCGAATAAGAACGAAAAAAGAAAAACAGCAAAAGAACCGCTTGCCATACCGAGACTTTCGTAGCGGATCCATACTTGTTGTCCAGAACTCGATCGGGGGAAACAAGGTTTTGTAGCACGTCATTGAATCGCCTCAAAAAATAAGTTGCATTTCCTATTTCACTACCAATATCACAAGTTTCTCATTTGACTCATTAGCAAAACTCACTTTACAAACTCTGAACACTCATATCCTTCAACACAGCGCTGCTGAATCACCTGCATGCGGTAGTAAAATGGAAAAACGGACGCAAGCGCTTGCAGCGTAGCATTCATATAGCATGAATTTGTCAAGTTTTCCAGCCTGAACCAGAACTGCTAATACGTGCCGCTTTGGTAGCAGAAAAAAAACTGTATAAAATTAAAAAGAATTCTTGACTTCTCTACTTTACTTCTGTAAGGGAACACTAACCCTCGATAGGAGTATGGAGATGGTTGTTCAGATGCAGTAGAAGGCATAGAAACAATATGCGTTGAAGAATCCTCAGCTGTATCAACTTCCTTCCTTTTACGGCTCGGTGTTGTTGCAGTTCCATAGCTAGAACAAAGGTGCTTTTGAGCTTCCATTAATTTATCAAAGAAGAAACATACGCACAGAGGACACATGCATAAATAATAACTGGCCAAGACAAGCCACATTTTGTAAAACTTTTGACCAGTGTGGCCTTCTCTCACTGCCCCTGCTCCACTACGCCCTCCGACCATCTACAATCATATCCCCTCACTTCGGCCACCGATTACTGATAGTACCAAGCTGTTCTTGAATCCTTGGACCTAGTTCAAATACCTGAACCTCTAGAAAAACGCTGTTGGTGGGTAAACGTGTTTTCTAAATTAGGAAGTTGCTATCTTGCACTGCTCTCCCTCATTTTCCCTTTAGGAATCTACGATCCTCCTTCTACCCAGAAAAGCTGTACGATCCCCATCAGGGAGTGCTCGACCGTGACTCTTCTGCTCTAGACAGAATACAATGCGGCCAAGTAGTGAGAAGAACTCAAATTGAACACATTCAGGTTTTTAGACCTTGACAAAATCACCTGCTTATATGTTGTGAGTTTTCCGCAAGATCCCTGTTT